CCTTCCCCTTGCCCCTACCCCGCGCAGCCGTGGGGATTTTGGGGGCTGGGGCCTCCTGCTCGTTGGAAGACGGCTCCAACCTGGGGTGTGATTCTGTAAGACTTCATTCTAAACTTCGAATCTGAATCCGCGGTGAGTTTCTTGATTGGCATTCTAAAACTCGATTCCTAACTCGAATCTATGCTAGCGCTACACTTGCGAGTGTGTTTACGAGTTGAACTAAATTGACCGCAACATTTTGACAGATAATGTATGAGATAACGTTGAAAATCGTATTCTATAATGTAATTGCCCCGTCCCTTCGACGCTCACTTCGAACTAGAACAAGATTCAAAATGTCAAATTAAAAGTATCTATTTTACGAGTGAAAATGGAAGAAATAATAGTTAGATAGTGTTCAAATTAAGTTTTGAAAGTAACAATGTGAATAAGTGCTTACCTATTAAAACGATAACGATGGCAAGAATGTTTTTGGTAAAATCTTTGTTAGAAGAAGCTCATGCTTTAGATAAACAAGAAATGCGTCGACAATCTAGCACCATTCGAAGTTTGTCTTTATTAACCTGAGATGACGACTATGTGAGCGTGTATATGCAATGGAGCTGATTGACCAACTGGAGGATGAGGCCTTTGATAAAACCCACAAAACGGCGAGGCAAAGGACTTTGGTATGGTATAGTTCATAACATGTATTGCCTGGTTAGTTATGTCCCTACTTCAGAATATATAAGTCTAATTACTAGGTTTTATTTATATTTGATTGGTCGGAAACGGATTACCTGATGGAAAGGATTCAGCGCCGCCAATGGATGGTATAGTTCATAACATGTATTACCTGGTTAGTTACGTCCCTACTTCAGAATATATAAGTCTAATTACTAGGTTTTATTTATATGTGATTGGTCGGAAACGGATTACCTGATAGAAAGGATTCAGCGCCGCCAATGGATACCCGCAACAACAGAGGGATTACGAGTGCGTTGCCGACCTTTTGGGGATTATGGATTTGGAGATTTTGACACACATTCACACGGCGAAACACAACGCTATGGTTGTTTCACGCCAGTTTTCTGTGAAGCCGTGGTATCACTCCGGTCGAGCCGACCCATTCGTGCCGAAACATGGCCTTCGCACACTTAAAATAGTATAAGTACTAGATAGTCATTCGATTTTTTTCAGGTGATTCAGGATATGCTCAACGTGCCTACTTTATGACACCATTAGTGGTGCTGAAGCCATTTCCCCAGAAGCATTTTAAAATAACATACATGCATATTACTGCTCGCCATTTTGAAGAGAGGACAATTAGAGACGAAATTATGTACAATTGCTGAAGTTCAAAGGAAGCAAACTAGGAATTTGCCATCTAATACAGGTTTAAATCTAGGACGTAGGCAAAATATAGTGCCTCAAAGAGCCAATAGACCACCACAGACGGAGCCCTACAGGGCTGATGTTCAGCCACGGTGGCGGGGCAAGCGCAATGAGGTGCCACGGTCACGGCCTAAAGCAGGAGAAGGAACGGGGGGGTTTTAGTCAGTAAGAGTCTGACACTATCTCGCCTTACCCTGGGCGGGAGAAGTGATATGATGATTTTCCCCTGACAAAAAAATATGACTATGATTTTATTTCATTTTATTTTGATTTTAATTCAATTAGGGTCTTGTATGATTTTATTTTTTCCTCATTTTTTTATGCGTGTGATTTCATTGTTTTATTACATTTTTTTCTTTTAATTTAGCCTTACGAGCCTAATTGTTAGACCCTAGTTAATTTATTGTATCCCATAATTGTTTGAATATACAATTGAGTTAAAATCAAATAAATAAATAGTGATATGTGAGGATGGGTCTTTAACTAATAAAACTGCTAGTACTCGTTAAAATTGTTTAATTTAAATATAAAAAAAAAATTTGGTTGAAACTTCTTAAACACTAAAACACAACTTCGTTGTTACACCCTATCTCGATGCATGGCCTCTGCCAATGCTCACAATCCATTCCAGATTGAAACTACAGATCCAGCTAAAATTTAATCATTCCCTAGACTTCTCCTCAGAAATGCTTGCAAGATCTGCGCATTTGATATTTGTAAATTCTTCCAATTGATTTGAAATCGTCTACTCTTCCACCTTCAGGAATCTCTCTGTGATGTTGGAGAATTCCGTTCGCCGTTGTGATGTTGGAGGAGCAGCAACTGAAGATGTGTGACGTGATACTGAAAAGAGAACACCGATTAATATGTGCATTGTTAAAAACTCTTTAACAAATTGCAGCTTTTCGCTGTCGTTTGTTCCAAAAATTAAGTTCTTTCTTCAACCTCTGATAGCTCAACTTCATCTTCCACCACACCAGTCCTGTCCTGCGTCTAGCTGCTAAGCTTCTTATGGCGCTTTTTTCTCAGACCAATACTACAAGCAGACATTTATATTAATAAAGAAGTTATTAAAAAAAGCCTTACTTTTTATTATTATTAATAGTCAATGTAAAATTAAAATAAGATAAGTTATATAACCAAGGAGCACGCCAAGATTCATCGTTATTTTAAGTGGCTTGCATTAAGGAATATTAAATGGTTTTAACATGCCAAAGTAAGCACTACTTACTTCACCTTGGTCCTCTGTTTATAAGTTTTGAAAGTGCCATCTATACCATACAGGCACACGGCTAGTTCCTTCCACTAGCGCCGATTTCGCTCTCTGGCACCTTGAGTTCTCAAGAAACCCTTCGCCAGCCAGGTAAAACCTGTGATGACGACGGGTGTGAGGAACGTATCTCATTTGGACTGAAACATTATGGTTAGATTAGAAAACAAAATAAACACTCTATAATAAATATTATTTTTGAACTTTACAACCAGTAATAAAACTTACTTCATGTTTATGATCTCTCTTTTTATCGGCAAACACGGAACAGAAAAAATATACGAATAAACCAAACGTGGACAAAATAATACAAAGCAAATGACAAAGAGTTTGTCAACAATGAATGAAGACATTATCTGTCAGTTTCTTGTTGGTAAACGAAGCACAGATTATATTCATCGCCTGAATTTACAGTTTTCTGTTTATTTTGTAATAATTAGCTGCCTAAAATTCCTTAAAATAAGAAATTTCAATTTATACGTCATAATATCTAAAATTCTGTGTCAAAAACTTGTTAAAATAAAAACCGATAAATCTCGACTTACATTTTGTGTAGTGTGGTACTACACTAGTACAGTATTGGCCGATTCGGAGCTCACTCCACTTCGCAAGTGCCTAGGTGATGCTTACAGAATGCAAAATCAACGCCATTTTGAACCTTATGCGAAGTGAGAGAGAATGTCGACTTGACATGCGAGTTCGTGTTAGAATTTTATAGAATCGACGTGCTGGGACGTTTAAAAACGCCCCGGTCTTTCTTGTGGCGCAGCGCGATGCTGACGCCAGACAATGATGAGTCGGACTCTGAGTCCGACTCCTTCCTGCTAGAGGCACGTGCACACGATGCATCTAGCGCCTCGGTTATATTCGCAAGCGAGCTGACCTCGCTTGCGTCCTCCTCACCGTTAGGTGGATTTTTATTTTTATTTTTCTTTATAGGCATCTCCATTGAAGTCCCACGAGTATGGGGGAAATAAGAGGTCCGCCCAGGGAGAGCCCCCTGTCCCTGGGTAAGTGTAAATTTGTCTCCCAACCAGGAGGTCCACCGGTCCCCTAGCTGGGGGTGCGCTCACGACTGATCCTACTCCTCAGCCATACATACCCTCGCCGCGCACCAGAACTTAGTATTGGAGGAATTTTTTATAGAGGTTATCTTCCTCGCGGTCCGGGCGGTTAAGCCAAGACCCTCGTCCCGGTCCGAGTCATAAAACATGACCATGATCTCTTCCCGGATTACGATATCGACGGGTGCAGTCGGGCGCAGCTAGTGCCCCGATGCTACTCATTGGCAGGGTGAGTGCACAACGAGCGCCGCCCTTGTTTCTCCGCCCCGCTCTCTGCTAGGTTCAGAGAGTCGTGCGGAGGAACGCCCCCACGGAGGCGTGGACTCTATGGCAGCATAGAGCCGATCGCCTCTAGAACCCGACCGGGTTCTCCGCCCGGCCAGAAGTTCGCTGCGGGCGACAGTCAGTCCAACCCTGTCGCCATCCCGTTAGGGAGACTGTCGCCCGCACCCAGGGTGCACCACGGGGAGGTCTTCTGGCACGCACCCCAAAGTAAAAGGAGGGTAAGGAGGTTGTCAAAGTGCTTCAGTAGGTTAACGTGTGACTACGCTTTTCAGTATTCTGAAAATCTTGTTTTATACTTTTTCAGCGTAATTTTTTGTCGTAGTTGGGTTTTAGTTTTTATACTTTTCATTATTAATAGAAATACTTTCTGATTCATAAAGGTATTGTTTTTGATATAACAGTTACAATATTATTACGATTAGTTAGTATACTAGTGCTTATAACAATTTAGTTTTTTTAATCCAATATTAACAACGTTTTATCACGTTTTAATAGTAACTTACGCGAAATTTAATAAATTTATTCAAAATAACGACTTAACTAAGAAAAGCTCTCCTAGTTTTACGTCATAACGGGACTTTAATTTATCAGTAGTTCTTATTCAGTAGTAATCCACCAATAGTGGTTTCTGGTTTGTATTTATTGTTTGATATATATTTGAATGTTTATGGTAGCAAATGAACTGTCAAACGTTTAAAAAAAATATTTTCCTTTCCTAAAATCTAGAAACATTGTGCACAGTATACATACTGTGCACAATGTTTCTGGATTTTAGGCTTGTAACATCGCGCTATGATTGGATGAGAAGAGCTGAACATCGAGCTCAGTGGCGTGCAATTGGGGAGTAGACTATGTCCAGCAGTGGACGTCACCAGGTTAATGATGATCGCGCTATATGACAATCCATTCTCAGTAGAGATCATTCAATAGAATGCATACCTTTTCCTAACATGTATGAGGATCTAGAACAAGTGATTTCGAATATTCAAATTTGTCCTAATACGTACCGATGGCATCATATTCATCATCAACTTCGGTACAGTGTCGTTTGTTCTTGTCATCTTCAGTAAACCTCTTGGAACTGTGAGCAGCTTCTTGTGCTTCTCCTGCCACACTCGAGATACTGAAGGCTGTGTAGTTATCTTCCATTGGACTGATGAAGGAAGTGTCTTCGTCAGCTATGCTTTCTGGCTCTTCGGGCTCAGAATCCTGTTGAACAGATTTTTTAATTAGTCAGTTTTGTTTTGGTAATTTTCTTATAAATTATAAGGGGTATCCTTATAAATTACAATCACACTACATTGCTACCTATCACGCTGCATGTCCTACTTCGGGAGTGCTTTCTCGCCATCTAAGTATGGGAGAGCCATAATACCACGGCCTCACAGAATACCGTCGTGAAGCAATGTTTTACGTTAGCTTTCGCCATGTAAGTGAAGTTACCGAAGACCCAATTCTTTTCCCTCTTCGCCATACTTAAATCAAATAGTCCACAAGATTGCAACTTGTAGTAACTCCTTTGGTATCACAAGAGTCTATGGGCGGTGCCGATTGCTTGTCCTCTAGTTTTCCGTTTGCTCATTTGCTCATTTATATTATACCATAAAAAACATGACCATAATTGTTTTCATGGATTCAACGACTGACTCGTTTTATTTCAAATGTATCTTAAATCATATGTGATACACTGATTCTGCTAATAAATTAATGCTGCACTGCGTGGTATAACGTATCATATGGTCCTAACTACAAACATGTCTATTAAACACATAATCCTTTGACAATTTTCTCAAACCGATCCCAGTTTCTATCTTTAAAGCGAATAAAAGATAAGAAGGCTAAGTACAAAGGTTCGATTAAACTTAATCCTGACAAAATCGCATGAGCAAAGTCAGCAAAGTTGTAGAGACGACAAAATTAGGTCAAACTTGACTTTCCTAGTTGCATAATATTTGGAGCCTATTCCCTTAGTTTTTTTTTTATATATTACGTTTGCAAACGAGCCAACGGATTACCTGATGCCAGCCCATGGACACCCGCAACGGAGGAGTTACGAGTGCGTTACCGATCTTTACGGGATTAGGGACTTGAAGATTTTGGGATTGGGGAAGGGTTTGGGAAGGGGAAGGATTGGGCCTCCGGTAACCTCACTTACACGGCGAAACACAACGCTGTGGTTGTTTCACGCCAGTTTTCTGTGAGGCCGTAGTATCACTCCGCTCGAGCCGGCCCATTCGTGCCGAAGTATGGCTCTCCCACACTTAATTGAATCAAGAAGCAGATTTTTCTGAAATATTTTTATTCATAAATATTAATCAACCGAAGAGTCTATTCCTTTGTTTATTTGAATGCGCTAAATAAAGGAACTACATATAGTTCTACAAAAACTGTAAAATATCAACCTACAAATAAAGGGATCTCAGCAGCAGGTAAAAACGCGCGGAAATAGCTTATTGTTGATATAATGTTTATTGGACAATATTATGTATACAGCTTTAGGTTAGGCAGGTTGTGCTGTATTTTTTTTTATTTAATAAGAAAGTTAACCAACAGCTTCTGTGTAAGATAATACTTAAAGTACTTTTTTTACATTACTAGAACATTTATATAATTTCATTTAAAAATGTGAGCCCGCGTCACCATTTTCATTGATCTTTCTATTTATGAGACTAGCAATCATGGTTGCTATTCCCTTAACCTGAATTAATCAGCAAATGTATCTAGCTTATCTTTTTAAAACGCAGTTTTAGAGATAATCTGTAAATCAAATTTTCAAAATAGGTAACACTTTATCCTTTTAAAAAACAAATTGGCGAATTTCAAAATTTGTAGCGACTGCGGTTTTGGAACTTGGTAGTTAATGCTGCTCGCGAATATGAGCCCCTAGTTAGGCTCGAAACTAATTGAGTTACTTCGAAAAATGACGAGTGTATGTCAAACATAATTAGTTTTATGAAGCCAATAATGGCAACAATTTCTGTGAAAACGTTATCAATATCAACGAAATAGCTACTAATTTATATGTAAATTATTTGTAGTTACCTCACAAATCAAACAGATTGTTAATACCAACGGACAGTCATACATTTGCATAATAACATTGTACTATAGTATTGTTTAGTTCGTGTTTTACCTCCAGAGGGCATGTGTGGCGACATGACCTGGTTAATGAACATGGTTTCAAGCTAAATACTAATTGTTCAGTTGTTTCATAATATTAAGGGTGTTTGAATTTTACACTTAATTTACATATACACAGGTGGCCTGAAATGTTTTTTTTTTTATATAGCCTATCGTGTGTCCCACTGCTGGGCAAAGGCCTCCCCTTTTTCCTTCCAAATTTCTCTGTCTAGTGCGATCTCTGGCCAAGTTTGCCCCGCGTACATGATCAGATCGTCACACCACCTTCGCCGTGGTCGACCTCGACGGCGTCGACCTCCTTGTGGTGTCCAGTGAGTGACTATCTAAATGAAATTCTAGTGAAATGAATTAATAATTTAAAAATGAAAAACAATATAAATTGAAAGGCGTATAACTCAAGAACGCCTGGATACATTTTTAACTATTTTTGTTGTGTATACCTATTATTGTAAGGATAATGTCAACCACGAAAATAGTTAGACACTTAACTTTATAGTAGTAAGTTTTTTAAATTTACTTATTATAATTTTATAATAAGTAATAATTACACCAGTTAAAAAACTAGTCATAAAGCCTGACAATATTTTTTAATCTGGCAATTGAATCATCTATCTTTAACACGACTAACGAAGCAACCAAGTAAGCCAGCATGAAAAAAAAACATATTTTTCTGAAATCTGTTCAGCCCTTGCCTAGATAATCGCGGATAACTTGAAAACACAATAATAAACATAGCTTAAGACACAAATAATGACTATCCTGTTCTTTTTTTGAAACATGTCCAAGTTTAAAAATCGTGTAAAATTAGTAGCTATCATCAAAATTCTCTCAGGTGATATTGAAATCCGTGACAAGTCGTAACACGTCACAAATGTCACGGGAGCAGTAAAGTGTGTCACGGTGGACGAGGAAAACGTGTCATTCAGACAGAGATTGCTCGCCCGCATTCATAGAGGCGTTGTAAGCGACAGATTCCGTGTTTTTCAAGTTCATCGGGGTGGAGAAATATGGAGCATCTAAATAAATAAATGAACAAGTATTTCTTTTTCAAGAATTTTTCTCTCAATCGACTCATCATCAGCCTACAAGTGCCCACTGCTGAGCAAAGGCCTCTTCTCATACAGAGAAGGTTTGATCATTAATCATCACACCACGCTTGCTCAATGTAGGTTGGCGACTTTACCACCCTACATACCTACATTTACCTCGGGGCCACCACGACGATAACCCAATTGACCCAGGCCGGATTTTCAAACATATTTTTTTTCATCCACACCTGTTTCCGTAACGGATAGAGTGTATTTTCATAACTTTCTTTCAATGATAACAATTCTATGTTCTATTGATTTTACAATAAGGTCTAAAACACTGAAGAAAATAAACACAAACCATTTTTATGAGGGAAAAATCTTCAAAAGTTGTCTCTTTCCCTGTGTGGAGAGAGAAAGAGAGATGTGAAACTTCTACTGACTAAAAACACCCCGTTTTCCCCCCTACTCCTAGCAAGGCCTACAGTCCATTATTGACACTTGACCTGCAACCCGGGCTGAGAGCCGATGTCTGTTTGACAAATTGAAGTTGAGTTTTTACAACTCAATTATGCAAACATTGGAAAACAATATTATGCATATTCCACAAATATTTGTATGCCAGGGTTATAAATGGCAGTAAAAATATGACCGAACTATTAACAGTACGGTGGATAAAAGTCCAATTACTCTAGAATGTTCTGGACTATACAGCGCCCGTTGAGCTGTTTGTGTAACAGATGGCAATTCGTTTAGCTGATTGGTTCACTGTGGGCGTGTTCGGACATGTTTTTATAAATGTTCCAATATTTTTCTTATATTGGTAGAATGGTAGGTTTTATCGACAGTTCAATAGTTCAATGTACATACATACATACATATATCTGCGTGAGTAATATCTCAATATAGGCTCTGACTTCTTTATTACGTTTCATTTCTGTTCTGGTTTAATAATTCGTTTATTTAGAGGATTTCCGAGATTTGTTTGATTTGATCAACGAAAGATATTTTTGGATGTTTCCAAAATAGGTTTTAAGCGTCTATGATAGCGTAACATTAATACATAAATATCCCCTAAGTTTTAACTTAGTATTATATGTTTTATACACCCTTGACCTTGGGTTTAAATGCATTATTCTTTCCACCGGACTCAATTATAAACTTCTTGTTATTTGTTTAAGAATTCGGAAATGCCAATTATATTCTTAGGCCACCTTGTTGTCGTTGTACATTACTTGTACGTTTCTGTTCGCGTGGACGATGATGCTGCAATGTAAAAAGAACGCACGACGCGTCGCTTTTCCGTAAATACGTTTTAAAGCTGAAAGTTAACAGACAAGGTTACGGGAATAAGCGCAACATTTAATGTACCGCGGCTCTGGCCCGAAGCAGGAGAAACAAAGGTGTGATTTTTTTGAAATCAATAAGAGTCTGAATCTCTTCGTACCCACCCAGTTTAGAGATTACGCTCCTCAACAAAAAAGGCTGAAAATCGATTAAAAGTGTACCAAAGTCACGTGCGTATCATGTTTGGTACCGTAATTAAACATATTATATTACAGCCCCGGGGCCGTAAATTGTAATTAATTAGAACATAACAGACACCGTATCATCCATTGTGATTAAACCTTTTCCAAAATGTGTCGATTTTCTAAAGAGACGCTTTAAAATTGAGCTTTTTTGATGATTGGATAAAGTATTATTTATATTTATAGTAATACCATAGAGTCTAGTAAAAGCTTGTAGTTTCCTTAAAAATATCTCGTTTTGTCAGATAAATAAAATTACTACTTTTTATGTGGCAAAAAAGCAGACGGGTTATCTGTTGGTAAGCAATCAATGCCGCCCATGGACACCAGATAAGTTAAGAGTGCGTTGCCACTCTTTTCGGGGGTAAGGGATTGCTGAGAGATTGAAGGCGAGGTAAGCTCGGGCCACCGGTAACCTCACTTATACGGCGAAACACGTGTTTTTGTCACGGTTTCCGTAATACACTTTCGTGCCGACGCATGGATCTCAAACACACTTTCTTGGAGAGGATAAGCGATTCGTAATTTATAATTAAATTACTTTCCCAAGAACTATTAACAACAGCTATTTCTCTAGTTCAGAAGGCTACATAGTAAGGACCTCCAATTAGGAATGCCTCTAATTACTCGAATATTAAGATAAACTTGTCCGAGGCTTTGGATCCACGGAAACTTGCCTGCCTATGTTTGGACTAATCTTGGAACTTTTGAAAGTATAAGGTCGTTATGGAACTATTCCGAACATTCACTGGGGCAGAATAATGCTGTAACATGGGCTTCCTTTATTATAACATGTGTAGGGTGGTAAAGGAAGCTATCATTGTTTTTTGGTTACGAAATATTGTAGGTAGTGATAATGTAAGATACGAGTATGAGATCTTACTATCTTATTTATCGAACTAGTGCTTGGTACAAACATTAAATACTAGCTTCCGCACGTGGCTTTGCACGCGTATTCGTGATTTCAAAAACAGCAGCGTTTAAAGCGATAGCTTGACTAAAATACCTAAATTATTCATAGTCCATAGCAGTCGAGAACATTGCAGCTATGCTGCTATCAGTGAAAGAATTTTGGAAATCCGACCAACGGTTCCAAAGATGGCCTCCCTTACATAACTTACGAATTTCAGCTCTTTATACTTGTATGTCGTTTATCGTCTATTTGAATCTCGTTTCCAGCAATTTTTTTTATCTATTTAAAGTATTTATTAAATTGTTCCAGATCAAAACTAGCAGTTTTAAACAACAGACACGCCTACTTTCTTCTGGTAGACAATGGATCCGTCGGCCGGTATGGAGCTGAGATCGTTCTCAGACGAAAGCTTGAGAAGTACATTGCGGCGCAGAAACTACATCCATGTAAGTAACTTCGTTGTTTACCAGTAATCTACACCGAATGCGCTTTTTGGATGGATGGCCGACCACTGGCCGCTGCATATAATGTTTCATTCATTTCTAACACGGAATAGTTCTGTGATCCGATGTTCTGGATCTACATAGCTATGGTGTATATTAATGTGAAATAAATATTTATAAATATATCCATGAGAAATGAGAAAATTCTAGTGTAGGACTATTATGTATTTCGGAAGCTTGTAACATTCTAAGTGACGTTATTAGATATACACAATATTTTTCTCAGTTTTAATTTTGGTCTTTGATACACGAAGCCGACAAGAAAGCTTGTTAAACTAGTCATTACATCACCTATGTTGTGAATTTGTATGTTTGTAAACGTACCCAGCCACGACACAGAAGAAAATCATAGTGTAAGGCAAAGTTTAAAAAAACGTAAAAATAACAATTCCATATCAATTTTCAAACTAATTACAACTATAAAACTTAACAAACAAATATGGAGGAACACAAAAAAGAAAGTGAGAAACAAAACAAAAAAGAAAACACAAACTCGAACTTTGAAAAAACTTTTTATGAAACACAACATTTTTTACCGAAAACAATATTGAATTTACGTCGCGGGACGTCGAGTCTATTTCCGAAATGAATTTCCACTTTGTTTGACCTGAAAGTTAGGTTGGAACCTTTGTTTAATGACCCTAGGCCACCTGACTTTGGGCCGGCACAAGATTGGTCCAAAACTTTACGGATTAAATTTTGTGATGTGAATTTAAAGAGACTTGGCTCTCTCTCATATATTAATTTTGATAAATTGGAATTTACCGAGTCAGTAGTGTACCAAATATCACATCTTATCATCTGCCTACCTACATATATGAGTGCCCACTGCCCAAAAGTGAGCAAAGGCCTCTTCTCATACGAAGAAGGAATACGTATTAATCATCACTCTTGTTCAAGCACATTAGCGATTTCAAACTTATAATTATAAATTACAAGTCCAGGTCTTTCATTTTTGCAGAGCTAACCTGCATGCAATATGATTCTTATTTTATATTTCCATAAAATATTTTGAATCATAGGCTCTGAGTTAAGGGCCTGTTCCTATTGTGACTGCCAGTCTCTTTGCCGGTAAAGTTAAGTTCTCTTTCCAAACTCTATATTCGAATGGAGAAGAACAAGAAACAAAGTCCACAGATTTATTCTTAAAAAAACTGTTTAACAAGCTCACCTCTTAGTATCGAAAGTCACGAACAGCCTGCCATCATAACATATGCATAATATGACAGACAGACATAAGCTATGAAACCGAAAATTTCTGACTTTACATATTTCACTTCAAAAACTCAATCCGTTTTGATTGCCCATACATTAATGGGTAACCTGAACAGTGTAACTTGGATAATACCTACCGAACTTTGTCAAACTTCAATAGTAGTACCAGGCTTAAAATTAGTCTTCTAAGATTGGTTCAAAATCTTGGTAGGTACTTACGAACTAAGTTTTGAGTTCCTCCGACTAAAACATATTACTGCTGCTTGCTTGAGGGCAAGTTAAGTGTGAACTCTTCGCTTCCCATGTAAGTTCGCTAAGTGATTTATCGCGACTTATTTCCTGACTTGAGCTTAAACTTAGCACAAGATAACCCTAGCGGATTTCTATTAAAGCGTTTGATTTTCAAACAAACTTCACGTTTGTATTTCCTAGTGGTGGGTGGTTCAAATTCAAACAATTTTATATTAAACCTGGATTTATAATCAATAATGTAACAAATAAAAAAATGTTAACACAGTCGTTGAAAAACCTTTACACTTCTATCAACCCCGTAAAGAAAACGTGTTGTTTTGTTACTTACATCAAACATTGATCATATTTTCCTGTTTAATAATTCCTATTCATTCAATGAAATGCTGCAGGTATCCTACGCTCACACGAATATCACTTTTGTTGCTATGAAATAAAGCTACTATTCGTCCGATAACACACGTTAGCCGGAACCATTTCTACTGCTGCATTCGTTACATACCGCTAGAAAAATCGACCGACCGGTCTCAGCCGCGGGCCGCGTAGTAGGCGCGGTGCTAACTTACCACACTTGTTGACTGCGGAGACGCAGCGACTTCTTTTGTTTTTTCAAATTCCTGACTCGGTTCTTCTGCTTGAAACATGAACGAGAACAAATCGTAATACCACAGATGTGGAGTGTAAATATCTGATTCGTTTTCCGCAGTCTTCTTACTGTTTTGCACTCTCTTAAATTCTCTCCTGACGCAGGCTCGTAAACTCTCAATTTTTCTCAGTACATGCACTCGCGTCGCGCTCGGATCGTACAACTGAACGAGTTGCGTCAGTTTTGTTATTGCTTCGTGCCGTTTGTGTTTCATTTTGTAGGATGCGCAGTGCTTGTCCCAGAGGCATGGTTGCCTTTGATATAACGAGATGAATTCCTTAAGTAGTTTTCGCGGGAAAACAACGTTAATGGAGTCGGACATATTGTTGGCGGTGACGCGTTCGTCGAGCGGCGCGGCGCGCAGGTCACTGAGCGTGTTGGGTGGGGCCGGGCGCAGGCTCGCTCCCCGCTCCCCGCTGCCGGCGTAATCCCCCTGTGTCGCCCGAATGCTAATGTTTTGTTCGCCAACATGTTGTGCGCGGTCGATACGCACTGCTCGTTATAACCGTATTATAGTGATTCTAATGATATCTAGTTGGTACGGAAGAATCTCATCATGCTGTTTGTTTGGTATTGATTTCACGCTCACACTTTAGTTTTATCTTATACGAAATTAATCCAGTCCCAAATCACAGCCAAAGTCTTATCATTTGTGTATCTAAAAATAGCAATCATAAAATTATAAAAACAACTAAAAGATTCAAGAGTTCCGTTTTAAATTGAAAAATAATAATTCGGATTCCTTTTTGGAACCTATTATCACAGAGATTCATAAGCCTTATTACTAGAGCCGTTCTTGACCTCAAATTGGCGATTTAAAAAAAGAAGAAACAGGTCAAATATAAAATTATTGACGTCATTAAGTCTCGCCATCCTTGAGTCAGTACAAAGCATGCAATTTGCCAGCATTTTAACGAGGGATCCTTCGCTCCTGGCATTTCTCTAATACTGACGTCACTTTACAAAATAAAATGGCTGCCGGTTTCACCGACAATAAAGAAAGAACATTGTTTTTTTTTAATTAGGTGATTTGACCTTCTTAATGAATGTTTGCTTAGAGGAAAAACAACTGGTATCAAAAAAAGGCCACACTACTTTTTCGAAAAAAGTGAACAGTAATTATAAGTGTCAGACAATGACAATGAAGTTTGTGGTGGGCCGGAGGTTATGGCGCTTCTTATGCATCAGGGCGCTGCCTGGTTAAACCTGGCAAAAATCAATTTGACTTTTTCCGAGTTATATGTACTTTCTATGATTATTTATACATCGACACTAACATACGGCGAAGAAAAACTGGACTTATAATTTCTAATTATAAGTTTGAAATTGCCAATCCGCCTTGAGTGAGCGTGTATTCAAACCTTTTCCGTGAACACTTATAGACTGATGATGTGTATGTGTATGGCATGTGATGCGAATGACAATAAAAAAATAAAATTATAACAAATGTTTTCTAATTTCAAATTTGTTTTGCAATTAAATTATACGCGACTTTGACTTAAAATTGAGTCATTACTCGTTTTCGTTTTTAAAAAAAGAATTCGTTACACCATAGAGTCAAATATTTTGTTATATGGCCACACTACGGTTTTCATGTTCAAAGACTACATAATTCATTGTTATATAGACAAGACAATAGCTTAACTAAGTACCTATGTAACACTGAGGCTTTAGTATGTAACGTTGTCTCAACTGATGGATTAATGGATTATGACCCCTGTTACGAGGGATGAGAACACAATTTGCATGTCATTGTTTATTTTTAGGCATCTTTATTAATATATTAAATTCTCCTCATGAAAGGTGGCCTTTGCTCAAAATACGTTTTGTTTTACGCTTGACGTTCAAAAGTGCCTACTGTGGTCTAATTGAAATAAATGATTTTTGACTTTGACTTTGACTTTGATAACTACAAAAAGGGCTACTGGTGATGAATAAAATACAGTTACGCAATAATTTGGATTTGCTTTCAGAGTGCAAGCGTCTTGTACTTTTATGGAAAGATAACAACACCAAAACAAAATACTATCGCTTCGTGTCTATCAACATTGAGCGTGCTAATAGAAATGTTTATCTACACACATTAATCACTAAACCATGTTTTTTAAAGGCGAAAATCATCAAATGACTTCTTCCGTCCTGAGTGAGGAGGAGAGAGTGTCAGACTCTTACTGAAAAAAAAACCGGTACCATATTGCGCTTATCCTTGGCGCAAAAATGTAATATGATTAAAAGACTCAGATGTTTTTTTATGTAATTGGTCGGCAAACGAGCAGACGGATTACCTGATGGTAAGCAATCAGCGCCGCCCATGGACACCCGCAACGGAGGAGTTACGAGTGCGTTGCCGACCTTTTAGGGATTAGGGATTTGGAGATTTAGGGATTGAGGAGGGATTGGGGGCGGGGAAGCATTGGGCCTCCGGTAACCTCACTCACACGGCGAAACACAACGCTGTGGTTGTTTCACGCCGGTCTTCTGTGAGGCCGTGGTATCACTCCGGTCGAGCCGACCCATTCGTGCCGAAGCATGGCTCTCCCACGCTTAAATTTAAGATTTTGGATACTTGACTTTAATATCACAGTACACAGTCGGGCAGCTCACCGCACCAGAGTTACATTGTCAATGGCCGACACTCTCTCGGCCACCTTATTTATAGTATAAAAGGATGACAATGACATTGACAGTTCTAGTGTGACAATGATTAGTATTATTAATTACAGATAATACAACAGAAAACATATGTTTAACTTATCTTTATAACATTAACACAATAAGTTATATAACCTCAAGCAAATCTGTTCCAACACAAAACAGTTATCTTGATCTAAGTATAACGAATGTTACCCCAAAATTGCTTTCTTGTTCCATTATACGCGCCCTTCATATCTACCATATAAACAATAGAAATATGATCCCATAAGTTGGAATATTTTGGCAATGGACTCAACCGTTAGACATGATATTCATACCTATACAAAAATTTAATTAAGATGTGTTTTTTTTTACTCAAAAATACATTATTGTAATTTTACAAAACATAAAAGTACTGAAAAAAATCACACTCTAATTCAGTGATTTAATATTACCTACACCTACTCAATTCTTGATAATTTAAGAGAAACAAAATAATCCTGACTGCAACATCTTGCTACATTTTGCAAAAATATGGAATTTGACTATTTGTTAACCACCCTATTTTTTTGTGGTGTGAAAATCAGCAAATGACTTCTCCCGCCCTAATAGGTTTGTATTACGCTACTTGTAAACCTTTGTACAAGGTTAATCTTAAATAGAAGATAATCAAAGTTCATATCAAGAGGTCATGGATAAGTCCCTTATATAATAATTTTGGTATTTACTATTATAATTTGAACCAATTACATTTAAAATACATGCGAAACCTTGGAATTGTGCCTTTACAATATGAAACTAGCAAACTTTCAATTTTAACGTAACTTTATAAAATTACTACCGTTACCCTTCACGCGGGTGTCGTAATATCGCACTTTAATCAAAGTCGAGATATACATATAGGGAACCTTATTTTTTTATAATAGCAATTCCTCGTATTTTGTGAGGGTCGTCCATAGTCCTCATAGTAGATTATGGTGGTGATGTATAAATACCTACCTTTATTTACTATCCAATGTTGTTGTAAACAATAAATCTACGAAATCTCTAATCTCCACAACCCGGCAACACACTTGAAACTCTTCAGACTTTGCTGCTGTTCCATAAACACCCGTCTGTGGATCGGCGCCAATTGCTTATCATCAGGTAATCCGGCTACACGTTTGCCATCTTATCACAAAAAACAGTCTCAAAACTAAAAAAAGCTAGTAATATTTTAAGAACCACAGTCTTGTAAGCAAAGATAAATAGCTAAGTTTTCGTCTCATTAAGCTAAGTAGCTGCTCTCGAAAAAACAGACAAAATGCTGTGGTGTAAGAAAATATGACACGCAAAGAACATGATGTATGAAGGTTTTACGAGTAGGTACATAAACAGTACTTACGTAACACTGCTGTCAGTATTAGCAGGGATATACACCAGGCTTACCTTTCAATTATTATTACTAGCAAACCCAGCCACGCGTTGCTGTGGCTAAGGATCTTGTCATATTACATATGGAAAAATAATTTGCAATAAAATGATATTGTTACTATAAATTGAGATGTAAGCTATCCTATCTTTCAAGTTGGATCAAAATGCAAATCAAATTTAAAATCGGTTTAGTAGTTTACGAGTCCGTCGCTGACAAACACGTGACACGAAATTTTTATATGTGAGAGTTTAGACATAAGGTGCATAAATAAAAAAAAATATACTAATTTTGACTGCCTAATTAGCACAGTTGCTGGGCATCTGGCTACTATATATACATACAACTTGTGGCGACGTTGATTCCCGTATGGTACAACTCTTTGCGTCCGACCGTCTTTGTTGTTCTAGGTCTTAGTGTGATGTGCCTATTGTTTGATTCGTTTATAAACGCACACGCGACATAGAAGAAATAGTTACGTAGGTGAATGTTATAACAAACAAAAAGCTTAATAGAATTCTTTACACGAAACAGACAGAAATCGATAATTTTAGAGAAATTTTACTGCGATTTTATGTCTGTACTACTTATTAAATAAATGACAAAACTTTTAAGAAATAACTACTCACTTTTGCGAAAGTAATTGTAATTTAGTACTGGATCGTGACATAAAATTACTTGCACTTGCACGTGTGGGAGAGCGATGCTTCGGCACGAATGGGTCGGCTCGACCGGAGTGATACCACGGCCTCACAGAAAACCGGTGTGAAGTAACCACAGCATTGCGTTTCGCCGTGTGAGTGAGGCCTTCCCCTCCCCCAATCCCTCCTCAATCCCTAATCCCTAAAAGGTCGGCAACGCACTAGTAACTCCTCCGTTGCGGGTATCCATGGGCGACGCTGATTGCTTACCATCAAGTACTTCGTCTGCTCGTTTGCCGACCTATCACATAAAAAAAAATAACGCTCTTAACGATCCTTTGACCAACTCATAATTTTTGTCTAATAAGTATTTTCTGCTGTCCCAACGAAACAAACTAATAATAACGAAATTACTAGACTAAAATGTTATTTCAAAACTATAATTAAACCATCTCCCGTGCGCGTCGGGTCCCTCAAAATAGCAATCCAATTTTTATTAACTTAAAGAAGCGTCAAATCCTCCGAACACCAGTTCTTCTCAGAGATTATATTTCATTTAGTCGCTACCATTTTTCCAATTCCAATGGGAAGCTGATGCTAACTTCTATTAAGACTTGAATCAAATGCCGCTTGCAGGAATTATAGATCTAGGAAGTTTTTTCGTTTTTTATTTTTAATGCATATGTATTAGCTTTGAATACACGTGGTGTTAAACACATATCTATACTAATTAGTAAATGCGAAAGCAACTCTGTCGGTCTGTCTGTTTCCGTAAAATTTGGTAAAGACATAGTTTGGAACTCGAGAAAGGACATAGGATAGTTTTTAAACCAAAAATCTACAGAAAGTCACTTTTCCACGCGAACGGAGTCGCGGACAAAAGCTAGGTAACTTGGTTTACTTATAAACCAAGTTAGGTTTGTTATTGAATCGAAGCATGTTGTCGAACTGGATATGATTAAAAAACTTCATACCTATCATTACAGCGAGGGTAGCTTGCCGCCAGACCAGAACCAGACCCTAGCGCACGTCGCGTTTTACGCGCACCACAAAGAGCCATCAAACCATCGCCGATAGAGCTCATTAGGGACGATGTCCAGCCAGGGTTGCGGGTATAAGCGCAGTAACCCCGGCCCGACTTATACTAGAACACAGAACGGGATGGTTTTTAGTCAATAAGAGTCTGATTTCGCCCCATTTAGAACTGTACAAGTAATTTAAAGATATCCCATCCTCAAAGCACCCTATCATTCCTGAGAATCTAGTAGTTTTCGATGATTATAGCTAAGCTAATATCAATGGGACTATATTATTTATTAATAATGCGAGTAAAGTTCAGTCACCTTTAAAAGTAAATAGTACTTTGGTATCTGTGCAGGGCAGGCGAGACGTTACCCGGAGCTCCCAATTTCATAGGCTCGTGATTTTAGATTCAATTTTAGATAATGCGAACATTTTTCGTAAACAGTTCTATATCTATCAATTCATTTGTTCGTTGTATTCCTGTGATAAAAATAGACCACTATTGAAAATACATTTAGGGTTGAATTTTCAATGCTTAGATAAAAGTTACCTTGGGAATAATTATGATGATGTCTCGTCAAAATGTTTGTATAAGACAGTGACAGCAGCAATTTTATTTCTCAGACAACATTTATCTGACTATTGAAAAATCAGCCCTTAGCCAATAACATTACCTTAAAGAAGAGAGCGTACTTCTTCTTCTAATAGTCAACGTTTTGTTTCACTTGACGTGTGTATTAATTTACTTCTTGTGAAAGATTGCTTATAACAAAATTTTAATTAACAATAATTGCACGCAATAAACATATTCACAATTAATACACTGCGGTTAAAGTTTCACCACTGGCGCCAAATCAACCAGCGTGGTATTGTTTCGAAAAAAATTAAAGAAACAATATTACAACGCACTTGGAACTACTTATGCGGCCATAGACGGTGCTAGACGCTTACCATCAGGTAATCTGTAAGCTCGATTGAAAGTGTTGAAGATTCTCAATGCGTTGCAAATAATTATTATCACAACTGGCATAGTTTAAAACAAAATCATTTTCTCTGTCCCTACTATACCTTGCTACAAAAAATATTATTTAATTCGAACCAACAGTTCCTGAGATTAGTGTACATATTATACGTGTTAGTATAGATTGTAAAATACTATATTTATCGCGGGAATTCCTGTATTCTGGAGAATTAAGAAAATTGTTTTCTAAGAGCTCGAAGTCGTCGCGTGAAGTAGAATGAGAATTTTCTATAAGGTTAGATAACGGGTGCACACTGGGGCGGTACGGACAGCTTCTAATACCTACACAACATTGTTACCTGTTGAACCCCATTCCTCGATGTTATTTCTGGTAAATTGCAAGTGTTTTGAGATAGTATCTGTTTCTAGGTTTCATATTTGTTAATCTATTCTTCAGTAGCGTTAATGTCATGTAGTATATTATATTAGTGACGTTAATTCAAATGATCTCATTTGAATAAATATGGAGTATAAAGTAAATATACAGGTTTTACAAAAAAAATCTACTTCTACGGGAGTTTCCCCTCATCTTATCCCTCCCTAACCCCTAAAAATCTCCAAAATCCCAATCGCCAAAAGGCCAACGTATATGTAACTCTTCTCGTTCTGCGAGCGTGAGTTCGTTTTGCTTACCATCAGGTAATCCGTCACATGTGTGCCGATTTAAAAAATAAAAAAATCTTCAGCCTTAAAATTCCACATGTCAATAAACACTAAATTCAGTGAGAACTTTACAATTCGATTGCCACGTGCCCCTTAATATCGCCCCTATATTTTGCAGAGCTGA